GGCCCAGACGGCCGCCCTGATTTGGAGGGTTGTCAGAAAGGGCCAAACTCTCTGCTCCTTCGTTACTGGTGTTTGATTAATTGGGATAGCGCCCATGTGATGAGTTGAGGTGGGGACACAGCGAGCTGCCAGCGCAGGGGCTGCGTGGGGACACACAGCAGCGCTGCTGCTCCCTACCTGCGCTCCACACTGGTGGAGGACAAGGTTTAATTGCAGACTCATTAATGAGGACTGCAGCCACAGCGATCCCAAACCCGCCTGGGGTCCCAACGCTGCTCCTGCTAAGCAGCAGAATCTCTCTGATCACCTCCCAGTGCCCCTCAGTGCCGTCACAGCCCCCAAATACTGCACGTCCAGCAGGAAAGCGGGCACCCAAACACTGATACGACGGCTATGGGGCAGAGACCCACAGCCCACAGATCCCCACCTGCAGCAGGAGGGGGATACTCACGAGGCAGGCCGGTCTTGTCGCAGATCGATGGTGAAGACGACAGCATCTTCACCTGCTGATAGGAAAGTGCATGGAGAATCCGGTTCTAGGGCCAGCTGTAAGATAAATACTCGGGCATTGGTTCCCTTTTCACCCAACAATGCACTCGAATCCCTTTCTCCCCATAACCCACCCCACATCCCCGCGTCCTCGACGCCCCATGGCTGCGTGCTGCTCTGCCAGGCAGCACAACAAGGCCCCCCTCAGCCCCCCCCATGCCCCCGGCCCACGGAGGTAAAGGGCATTTTGAGGGCTCACCTTGTGAGAAGCTCCCTTGTGCTGTGCCACACGCTTGGTGCTCCTGCAGCACTGCGTGGCCGAAAGCTCAGCCACCCGCACCTGCCCGTCCCGAGCACACATGGCCAGCGTGGAGTCACCGCTGTTGGGGAGGAACTTGGCCTGGAAGACAGCAAGCAGAGGGTGAGGGCTCACAGCCGAGTCTGAGGAGCAATGAGGATTAGATCTTTAGAGGCGCAGCTGGAGGGTCGAGAAACCATCCCGGCTCTTGTGGGAGAACCCGGAGGAGACACGGGAAGGATCGCGGCCCGGGAACCCCGCGGCGAGGCCGGCTGTCCGGGCCCCCTCTGGCGGCAGAGCCGCGGCACAGCGCAGCACCGTCGGAACGCTGCTCCTCCCGCACCGCGATCAACAGCAGCAGCACCGGCCGGGGGCTCCGGGCAGAGCAGCAAAGCTGTGCGGCCCCCAGCCCAAGTTTGGAGCCGCTCGAGTTTCGACGGCCCCCAGCTTTGAGAAAAGCCCCTTCTGCTGCCCCGCACAGCAGCAGCAGGCAGGGAAATCGGGCCCTGACCCGGCAGGGTGGGATGCAGCACCCACAGAGACCGGAGCGGGAGCTCCTCACCTGGAAGACGTTGCTCTTGTGGCCGCTCTCGAACTCCAGCACCGGCCGCCTCCGCACCCAGTCCCACACCACCACTTTGAGGTCGTCGCTGCCGCTGGCCAGCCACGTGCCCCTCTGGTTGAAGTGCAGCGTGTTGACGCAGCCCGTGTGGCCCTCCAGGCCGTGCTGCAGGCGGAAGCGCTGCACGAAGAGCCGGGCCCCGCAGGCCTCGTAGACGAAGCGGGGGCTGGAGCCCAGCTCCCTGTCCCGCAGGGCGCGGATGGCCTGCCAGCGGGGCCGCGGCAGCGCCGTGGTCTCCGAGGACACCCAGTCCTCCAGCGCCTGCTCGTCGTCCGAGGAGTCTCGGTCGTGGTTGGCACGTTTGCGCTGAGCTCGGCGGTGGGATCGCTGCTCCTCCTCTTCCTCCTCCTCCTCCTCCTCCTCCGAGTGCGAGCAGTCGAGGGTGCGCGACTCCTCGTTGATGGAGTAGTGGCCCGTGTCGTCCATGCTGTCAGAGTCCTTCTCCTCCGCAGAGCTCTCGGTGTCGGTGTCGCGGCTCTCTGTGCTGGTGCGGTTGGGCCCCACGTCGTCTCCAGTGAGGCTCAGGCTGACGTCGGACGCCTCCACCTCGATGCCGGAAGAAATTTCTCGGCCCTCCTCGGCTGACATCTCCTCCGGGCTGCTGGACAGGCTGCCTGCACCGCACAGACAGTGCTGTGAGCTCCGAGACGTCCCGGCCCACCTGCTCTTTCCACCCCATCCGACCCCTGCACGACGGCAGAGGAGCGAGGCACGCGGCCCCTTGACAGGGAGCTGAGGTGGCCGGAGTGAGCCCTGACCCCTCCAGCCTCTGCTCTGCACCCAGCGCCAGCCCGCAGAGCCGGACCCCACCCGGCCTCGGTCCCTCTTTCTGTCTCCCCCAGCTCCATCTCCCCTGCACTGCTCCCCACGTTGCTCCCCTGGGGCTGAGCTTCCCCTGCCTTCACCATTCGCGATGTCCGTCTTTCCGTCCATGCTGCTCCCTTTATCCGACATCTCCTTTCTCGCTGCGTGCTTCCCCTGAAGGCAAGAGAGGGAGAAAGCAGGAGCTGGAGCGGCCCCGCCGCGGGGACCACGCTATCCTAAAACACAAAGGCACACAGTGAGAGCACTCAGCACACCCCAGGGCTCCACCACCCCACGTCCCCCTATGAAGCCCAGCCGCTCTCCCCCAGCGACGGACTCTGACCCCACACACCCCACAGGGCAGCCCGGCGCCTTGCGCTGCTTCCCCCGACACCTGGAGCACAAGGAGCGCTGGGTTTCCCCGTCCATCTCAGCGCCTGCAGCCCACAAGCTGCTCCAGGGGGAACTTTTAAGGTCTTGAAGCCCCTTCCCACGCACAGCGCTCTCCCCTTCCCAACAAGGGGCCACCAGGGCAAAGAGGACCCATTTCTGCACAGGATGCAGCAGACACCGCATCAGAAGGCGATGCTTCCCCACGGATGGATGCAGCACATCCCAACCCGGCACCCAGTGCAGCCCAAAGCCAAAGCCCAGCTCAGAGCCGGGGAGGCACAGCGGGGAGACACGAGCAGCGCAGGTAAAGGAGGGGAGAAAAACAAAACCGTCTCAGGGATGTTTTGCTCCCTCATTGCCCCCCTTCTGCTTCTAGGCCGAGCGCTTTCAGCTCCCCGTTTACAGAGAGGGCAAAGCCAAAGCTGGGCCATCATTAACTCTGATTACAAACCGAGATTAACCAGGAATTAACACCAGCCCCAGGCAGCAGCACAAAGGCTGAATGCTCCAAGCCAACCACACTCATCATGGGGGTCTGGGGGGGCACCGGGCTCATCCTGAGCACATCTGCTGCCACCGGGTCACAGCCCTGCCCCCCGAGGACCCCAACCCACAGCTCAGCCTCTGGCCACAAGCGCTGCCTCCTCCAGCACAAAGAGCCCTGCGTGGCTCCGTCACATCAGGGATCCCACAGCCGCACAGCCGCAGCTGGGGGAGCCTCAGCGCCCACAGAGGGAGCAGCGTTTGCATTTCGTTCCTCAGGAGGGGGCTTCCTCTGCCAAATCACCCGCTCTGATCTGTCATTCACAGAGCTGAGCAGCAAGGAATCACAGAATCATAGAATCACAAGGTTGGAAACGACCTGTAAGATCATCCGGTCCAACCATCTCCTCATCACCACAGCCACCACCAGCACCAAAAACCACATCATAACCACTTCACCACCAAACCACATCACGCAGCTCCTCATCCAGACACCTCTTGAACACTGCCAGGGTCGGCGCCTCCCCCACCCCCCTGTGCAGCCATTGCAGTCCTGACCGCTGAGAGAAAAAGTTCCTCCTCACATCCAACCTAAACCTCCTCTGCTGCGACCTGCGGCCGTTTCCCCGGGTCCTGTTTGGTACCTGGGAGAAGAGGCCAAATCCCTCCTCACCCCAGCCTCCCTTCAGGCAGCTGCAGAGCGCAGTCAGGTCTCCCCTGAGCTCCTCTTCTCCACGCTGAACCCCAGCTCCCTCAGCTGCTCCTCATCTTTGTGCTCCAGACCCCTCACCATTTTGTTGCCCTTCTCTGCACGCGCTCCAGGGCCTCAAATGTCTTTCCTGCAGTGAGGAGCCCAAAACTGAACACAGCACTGGAGGTGCGGCCTCAGCAGAGCTGGGTGCAGGGGATGCTCACCTCCCTGCTCCTGCTGGCCATTTCTAATGCAGGCCAGGATGCTGTTGGCCCTTTGGCCACCTGGGCACCCTGTGGGCTTCTGTTCAGCCCAGCATCAACCAGCACCCCCAGGTCCTTCTCTTCTTCACACTCATCCAGCCGCTCATCCCCAAGCCTGCAGCGCTGCATGGGGTTGTTGTGGCCAAAGTGCAGCAGCCAACACTTGGCCTTGTTGAACCTCAGCCCGTTCACCTCAGCCCAGAGATCCAGCCTGTCTGAATCCCTCTGAAGGGTCGCCCTGCCCTCAGGCAGATCCACACCACCTCCCAGCTTGGTGTCATCTGCAAACTTACTGAGGGTGCCCTCAATGCCCTCATCCAGGTCATCAATAAAGATATTAAACAAGATGGGCCCCAGCACTGAGCCCTGGGAGACTCCACTTGAAACAGGTCACCAGCTGGACTTCACTCCACTCACCACGTCCTGCTGGGCACGGCCCTGTAGCCAGTTCCTTACCCAAAGGAGTGTCCACCTGTGCAGACCACGGGCAGCCAGTTTCCCCAGAAGAAGCCTGTGAGGGACCGTGCCAAACCTCTGCAAGGTCCTTGCAAACCTTTGCAATTCCTTTGCAAGGAACTCGCTTCCCAGAGGAAAGCAATCCAGCACGGAGTAATGAGCCCGACTTCACCTCTCACCCAGCCACACGAGGGGCAGAGCTTCACTTGGAAAGAAAGCGAGCCGACCACTGAGCTCCTGGTGGCGAGCAGCACGCTGGAGGACGCTGAAGGAGGAAGAGGAGCACAGCCACAACTCTGCCATCTTCTCCATGTGGGGCTGTGAGACTCATCACCCAGGGGCAGGTGCTCCGCATCGGCAGCAGAAGCGCATCCCCGCGGTCCCATGCCGGCTCTGCTCGCCATGAGACGCAACGCCAGCAGCTCCTCGGCACGCGCTGTGGGCTGGAAGGAGCCCCAAAGAGGAGGAAAAGAAACCCCCGGGCCGCCCCCAAAGAGCTGCAGCTCAGGGTGGTGACAGGGATGGAAAGGGGCCCTGCGGGAACGGTGCAGCGCGGAGCTGAGGTGTCACCTGCTGGAGGTGCGGCACAACTGCGGCACCAAAGCGATCGCTCCCACCTCCCCGAGCTGCAGCGATGCTTCAGGCGATCATCAGGACGCCGCTCGGCCCCGCTGGGGGTCACCAGCCCCACAGCATGCCCCAAACAGGGCTTCGCTCCGATCCGGGCCGATGGATGGGCGCCCATCAGCAGCCCCACAGCACGCACTGAACGGGGCTTCGCTCTGATCCAGGCCGATGGACAGGCGCCCATCAGCAGCCCCACAGCAGCACCCCGTCCCGCGGCCCGGCTCCCCTCCCAGGCACCGACATGCTGGTTCTGCGCTGCCCCGGACGCTGCATCTGGACAGGATCAGCCCTGAACGCCTCACATGCTCACAGCACCCCTGCGAAGGCCCTATAAATATCCCTCCGCATGCCACAGCCCGGCCGCCTCGGCACCGAGCCGCCACCTCCTCCTGAGCTCATCCCACAACAACGGGCTCTCTGGGGCCGTTCCCCCCCACCCCGAGCTTCACACGCAGCCACCAGCCGCTCCAGCAGCTCCTGGGTGCTGGCAACATCAGCATCGGGTCACAGCGGCAGCAAGCGGGCTGCACAGCGCCGGCAATCGGAGCGTTCACAGCCTCTCCATCCCCAAACTCCTCCCCGCAGATTTACACAGCTCTATAAACATCACACGGCCCCGCCGGGAGGCCTGGCTGCGTTTGGGATACACAAATAAGGAGCAAGCAGACATTAAAAACAAAAAAAGAGCAGACACCCACAAGCGAGAGCCCCTCGGCCCCGCTTCCAACCCAACCCCCCCCACTATGAGCCGCAGCCTCGTGGCCTTGGCGCTGCCGGTGCAGAGCACACGTGTTGTGCCGGGTTCCTTTCAGCCTCTTCTATTTAAGGAAAGTTCTCTCATCGGGGCCGGACGGCAGCAGCTCGCAGTGTGGGGCGGCTCCGGGGCCAGCAGGTAGCTCAGTCCCCATAGAAAACCCCACCGACCCACGGCAGCCAAATCCCCCCTTGTGGGGTGGAGGGGAGCCTCCGGTTGGCCAACGCTTGGGGAATCCCCCCCTCGTGCTGAGAGATCTGGAGAGGTTTGGATCATTACAAAGCTCCCAGTCCCCGCTGATGACGTTAATGAAGCAGCTTCTCACTCGCAGTTAAAGGGAGATCAGCGATTCCCACCTCTCCCCCTGGATCGGAGCATCATGAGCCCATCAGCACAGTGACCCACAGCACCTCTGTGGGGACGCAGCGTCCGTCCGTGGGGCTGCCACACAGCCATCCCCAACCCCAGGGCCCCGCCATCCTACAGACCCCCTCCCTAGCAACAGCCCAGACCCAGGGTCCTACTGCCCCACAGACCCCCCCTGAACCCCCCTATTTGCAGTCCCAGAGCAATATCCCACAGTGAGTGCCCTGCTGCCCCACAGGCCCCCTTCTACCCTTATTTGCTCTCCCACAGCAAAACCCCATAGCCAGTGCCCCACTGTCTTCTGAGTGGCTGAGCAAGGGAAATACAGGACAGTGCAACCGTGCTGCTAATTAACTGCAGGTAATGAGCCCCTCAGCACCCTGCATCTCCCCCTTCCCATCCAGAGACGGTGAGGACAGGGGCTCCACCTCACTGAGAGGAATTGGGGCTGGGGGAGGTGGCCAACCCCAAGAACGGGGAAACCCCCCCATATGAGGAGCTGGGAGCTCCCTGCCGTGAGCTGACACCAGGAATCCGGCGTCACAATGGAGATCAGCACCAACACGGCTCCAAAAATCAACGCACGGGAAGGAAGGAAGGAAGGAAGGACAGACAGACCCCAAGGAGCACAACCTGCCCATCGCAAACAGCCCCTCCAGTAAGCTGCCATCTCCCAGTTTGGAGCCTTTACTGGGAGGCTCTGCCCAGTACCCGACTCACCTGCAAGCAGAGGAAGGGTGAAGGCCTGGCAGGGTCGGGAACCGGGGACAGCCGTCCCAGCACCGCAGCGCCACGGGGACAAAGGTGACAGTCCTGGAAAGGAGGGGGTGACAAAGCCACACAGTGGATAACGGTTGGACACGGGGGCTGGGGGGGAGCCCCAGTAGCCCCTCGATGGGATGATGGCGTTCTGGGGGTGGAAGGGACCCCCACTGTCCCCCCCCCCTCCCAAGGGCTGAGGACCTTTGGGTTTACAGAAACAGGATCTGGGTGCAACAGAGACAACAGCCCCACACAGAGGGTCCTGTCCAGGGGACACAAGGATCCCTGGAATGTTTCCCATAAAGGAGAAAGGACCCCCCTCTCCCCCCACCTCCTCCAGATCCCCTGACCCCAGGAGCTCTCAAATAGGGTTGGAGGACCTCCATGGAGCACCAAAGATGCCCTCTCAGCTTCCCCCAGAACAGGCACAGATGCTCTATAGGTAGCAGGGATCCCCCCACTCTCTCTCCCAGAACTCCCAGAAGGCACTATGCCCCATGGGGGGGGGGGGGGGGGGGG